GTGTGTAAAGTGTGTAAAGTGTGTGTATATAGTGTATATATAGTGTGTAAAGTGTGTACAGTGTGTATATATAGTGTGTAAAGTGTGTACAATGTGTATATATAGTGTATATAGTGTGTAGAGTGTGTAGAGCTGCAGTTTGTTGGTAAACATGAACATATAATAAATGTTTGTGTTTGAAATCTTTAAAGTAAATAATGAATCTGGGTGAAATGACCACCAGGTGTCACCAGAGGGACTCTGGTTTTAATTTGAAATTTGAAAACCACCACCGGAAGTCGTGTTGTTTACCCTTCAAATTAAATCATCTGAGCTAAATCACAGAGAGTTTTTAAGTCTGAAAGTCGAGTTTATAAGTAAAACACACACACGTGTAAATGAGGTAAAGTACAAATGGTACAACTGATTGAAAACATTACATTTTGAAGAAAGTGTTTTTATTTTGCAGGAAGCTCCGCTGTGTGGTGACGACAACATTAAATATGCATGATTGAATGAACATGGATTGTTTTGTTGAGAGTAATAATGTTATATATTGTTTTGTATCCATCAGTCTACGTTTGCTTTTTTTTTTCTCCCAGTGTTCATTTACGTGTTCGTCGGGCTTTTATTGTGAAATCCCTGCCCGGAGCCTGTGTTGTTGTTGTGTTTTATTTTGACAGCAGTGTGTTTCCTGTGTGAGGGTGAGGCTCAGAACCAGCTGCAGCTTCTTCTTCTTCTTCTTCTTCTTCTTCTTCTTCACTTCGATTTCACCAAACACAGAAAATAAGAAGAATTAAAAACCAAAGAGAACAGACGCGTGACCGCCCCACAGGAAGAGCATTTTATTGTGAAAGCGCGCAGAGGAGCAGACAAAGCGGTGAGGTCATTTTAATTTCTGTTTTTGTCTGAACGAAGAAAAATGTGAGAAAAATCCAAACCGACGGTTCGATCCGCAGGAATCAGTTCGTTCGGTTCTTTCCTTCCTGTGCTGGAAGTAAATTAAATAAATTAAATTTCTTATCACTGTAACGACACGAACATAATTATTGTTGCTGCATGAACACGAGACATGAGACGAGATTAAAGTTTCACAGCAATAAATCATCACTAGATTCATGAAATCACGAGACTTAATTTAATATATTTCATATTGTTTCCACTTGAAGAAATTAAACCTCTCGGAAACATGTTTAAATGTTTTTATTTTTATCTCGTATTAATCATGAACCAACATCTCATGTTGCTTTAGAACAAATATTAATCCAGTGATGGTCAGAAGATGTTTAAACACGTAAATA